CGCGTGATGAGCTGCGAACGGATCAGCGAGGTGGACGAGGAGGAGGACGAGGACGACCTGGTGGACGCGTCGTCGTCGCCGGCGCCGTCCGCGTCCACGGCGTCCCCGTCGGCGACGGCGTCCTTCTCGCCGACACTGTCGGCGACGCCGCCGGACCTGCAGGCGGCGCGCGACGACGCCACGCTGGCCGACCTGTCCACGGTGTCCAGCCTCTCCGACGAGGACGCCGACGCGGCCGCGGGGCTGTGTTGGCACGAGGACGAGCTGCGTCGCCTGGCCGACGACGTGCTGCTCATGGACTCGAGCGAGGGCCTGGCCGACGGCCTGGCGAAGGAAAGCGCCACCGAGGAGCACGAGGTGAGCGCAGTGGAAGACTTCTGCTGCGTTTATCGCTTTAAATTCCTGTCAAATGCAATTATGGCATTTGCATTCAACTCGCAGACGGCGGACTCCCAGCCGACCGGCGAGGACAGCGGCAAGGAGGACCAGGGCGACGATAGGGAGGCGGCCGACCGGCGCCTGGAGGCGGTAGCGCTGCGCTGCGTGCTGGAGGACGCCGTGAACCAGCTCAGCATCCTGGCGCACACGACCCGCGCCGCCAAGCTGGCCCCCGCCCTGGCCAGCCACTCGCTGCACGAGAGGCGCGTATGCGAAGCAGAGCAGGCCGACAGTGGGCCACAAGACCGGTGGAGGCGGACAAAAATCTAGACGCGATTTTTAGCGACTCTGGAGCTGAAAACGCGTCTAGAGTTTTGTTTGCCTCCACCGGTCTCCAGCGGTGCAGGGCTTGCAGCCGAGGGATTCAGAAGATCCGTTCGTCGCTCTGCCTCTCTCGCACCCTTACGGAGAGCCCCATGAGTGCGACAGAGACAGGGCGACGAAACGACTCTTCTGAATCGCTCGGCGGGCAATGCCGAGCACGCCGCCGCCCGCAGTGGCGGATCCAGAGCGAGCCTGCACTACTGCAAACGAACGAACAGTGTGCACGCCACACTCCACCTGGGAGTGTGCCTGCTGCTTCTTGCACACTCGTACGAGCAGTACTGTGCCTGGATGCGCACTGTTCCTAAGCGTGTGCCATGCGTCATGCAGTCCCGGTCAGTCACACGCCAACAGTGTGCACGCCAAGCGCAGATATAGAAGCAGTGTGCATCCGTTCGACTGTGCGTGTGCGTGCAGGCACGATGCAGGTGGAGTGTGATATGCACACTGTTCAGTTTGTAGAGTGAGCAAGGCAAAAGTGTTGCTTTTGGCAATCTTTCAGGCTGGCATCCAGGAGTTTGGGGGGAGGGGCAACTGACTCATTGCCTCCTCTCCACCCCGCACCCCCACCCCCTTTCCTGGATCCGAGCTTGACCGTGCGCTGCTGCACGCGCGCCGCGCATTGACGCACTTGCACCGCGGGGAAAAGTCGAGTATTTTGAACCGTTTGAGCGCTTGCCAACACGGACTAGTTGACGAATCGTCCGGTGTGCGCCAGAATAACACACTACTTCCAACTGCTGCAGGCTGGAGGCCATTGATGCCCGCGAGGTGGAGCGGCGGGCTCCGAGGGGCTGCCGCAGCTGAGGCCGGCGAACCAGGATGACGAGAACGCCAGGGTGGACAAGATCCAGCGAGACAGGTGGGGACGCGCGCGTGACGAGCACCGGCACGCCGTCAGGCGTGCGACGTGCAGGTCAACGAGCACGCCGTCGGGCGAACGACGTGCAGGTCAACGAGCACGCCGTCGAGCGAACGACGTGCAGGTGCACGAGCACGCCGTCGGGCGAACGACGTGCAGGTGCACGAGCACGCCCTCGGGGGAACGACGCGCGCCTGCACTAGCACGCCGTCGGGCCAACGACGTGCACGGCGCGAGCATGCCGTCAGGCGGCCCTGACCCCCGGCCTTTCGCGGTGCTGCAGGGCCCTGGTGCAGGAGGCCCTCCGCCTGCAGCTGGTCTGGCTGCGCAGCTCGGCGCCCGGGGCGGCGAAGCAGGCGAAGCGCGGCGCGGAGCAGCTCCGGGAGTCGCCGCTGTGCCGCCTGGTGCGCGACGAGGAGCGGCGCGCGGCCGAGGAGGCCGTCATGCTGGCCGAGAGCTCGCGCGCCGCGGGCCGCTCCGACCGCCTCAAGGACACGGTGCAGCAAGGCGAGCGCGAGGCGCAGCGCCAGCTCAGGGCCATGCGGGAGGAGCGCGCGCAGCTGCAGGTACCAGGTTCGGTGGTTCAACCACCGCCGTCGCCTTGAACAAATCCGTGAACAAATCGCTTTTGCGGAACAGACGATGGGTCCAAATGGCGACTGCTGCTCGGCATCGACCGCCGTAGATTATCTTATCACGGGCCTAGCCCCTTTCCCAGTGCAAACAAACTTGATGTTGTTGTTGTTGGTCCGCGTCACCGCGCAAAGGGCTGTGGAACCTGGTGCGCTGCTTGATGTGCAGGAGGAGGCGCGGAATCTGCGTTCGCGCACCGCCCTGGGCGCCGCCGTCACGGAGCGCTGGGAGCGCGCGCGCCTGCAGCAGCACCAGCGGCACCTCCAGGTCCGGGAGGCGGGGCTGCGCGCCGCCCTGGACAAGCTCGCCGAGGACTACGACCTGGAGCTCCGCGCGCACTGCGAGCTCGTCGAGTACCTGCACCAGGCCACCCAGGTAGGCTGGCCGTGGGCGCGCGCCGTGGGCTGTTCGAAGTGTATTGGTGTTGTAAAATATCGCTTTCCCCCATGTAGTAAATGTAAAATATCAATATCTCGATACATAGATGTAAAATATTGATACATAGATGTAAAATATCGATACATAGATGTAAAATATCGATACATAGATGTAAAATACCGATACATAGACGTAATACATACATCGTTGTAAAATTTTGACAACCGCAATGTTGATACATTGATGTAAAATTGTGAGCCTGCCCTTATAGGTAAAATATCGATATGCTAGTCATTTGAGTTATCGATATGATAGAGCCCTTCCGTACCGTTATGTTTGGCGGGAGTCACTGCCGGGTAAAGAACGTTCTCCGCTCGCTGGGGGCCGAGCAGCCGACGCTACGAAATCCCTCAAATCTCGGGAATGCCAAGTCTTTAGGACTAAACAAAACCTGTTCTGGCATCACCTGATTTTGTACTTTCATACTGAGGACACGAAAGATACCTACGAACAGTTTTTAAAATTAAGTCTGCAAGCGAAAAGCCGCGGCAGTTCAAACAAGGTTACGCGTCGCACCATGATTTAACTCTTAAATTCACCCGCGGGAGCGAATTCTGTGAATGATATTGCGACAAAATGTTTCGGATATCTTAAGGAACAAACTGGTAACAGTAATCTGGTGGAAAACGCTGACAATACAAAAATATCGCTAGTTTCAAGCGTCTGGCAGGCGTCTTCTGCTGGCCCTCAGCGAGCAGGTTTCGCCATACTTCGTGCCGCCATATTTCGCATATTGGAAGTGCTTTATGTAAAATACAGTATCGAAAAGTACATTCAAAAACAGCGGCAGGAAGGAAAGAATCGATACCCCGACATTAATATCATCATCCACCACCTCTGCGCAGGGCCTGCAGCACCAGAGCGAGGAGTGGCAGGCGCGGTACGACGAGGTGACGGCGTCCTGGGACGCGCAGCTGGCCGCCCTCAAGGCGCAGCGGCAGGAGTACACGCGCCAGCTGCGGGCGGTGCGCAAGGAGGCAAGCTTGCAAGCGCAAAGCGCGGGGCACTCGCGGACTCGCGAGGCGCATCGTGTTGCGACACGAGTGGGCCAACATTCCCGCCCCGCGATGGACCAGTGTCCAAAGGGGTGCCCTGCCTATTAGGCCACTTCTCGTGACTGCGGCCCAAGGTATTGCCCAGGAGGCCGGCAACCCTTTCGGCACTGGTGCACCGTGGGAAGTTTTGCCTACTTGCGGCGACACTCCCTGCACACGGTGGGCCAGAAGACCGGTGCATGCTGCCATAATTCTAGACGCGTTTTGAGCTCCCGAGTCGCTAAATGGGAGTGGAACCGAACGTGTGGCCACACCAATGAATTGCTCTTCGAACGAGAAATCCATTGGTGGGGTCACACGTTCGGTTCGAGTCCTATTTAGCGACTCTGGAGCTCAAAACGCGTCAGTTTAGGCCGCCGGCGCCGGTCTTCTGGCCCACTGTGCTGCAGGGCCTCAACGCCCGCTCCTCTCTGCTGCAGTTGGCGCGCCGGGAGCGCTTCAAGCGCGAGTTCCTCGCCTACAAGACGGCCCGCGACCAGCAGGTGGAGGAGCGCCTCCGCAGACACAACGCCGCCACCAGGATCCAGTCCTGGTGGCGCATGACGATGGTGCGCAAGGGACTCGGGCCCTGGAAGCGCATGGCCAAGAAGAAGAAGAAGAAGAAGAAGTAGACGACGCGCTTGTTTGTGTCGCGTTTCCCAATAAAGGAGAGATTACTGAGTCAAAGTGCACGCGTGGCTTTCAAATCCACACACTGACCCACAGACGTTCCAGGAAAGAGTCACTCACACACGCACACACACAGAGGCGCACTGGCCTTAGACTAGTCCGGAATGATTCACCGTTCAGTGGCACTCGGAGGTGCGCCCGCACTCGGCTCATGTCTCATGACGAGGTCGTGCTCGCGCGCTTCCCATGGAGGTTCGTTCAAAACAACGCAAAGCCAGGACACGTGGTCGCGGTCCTCGAGCCGAGCCAGCAGACCGATTCCGAGAGTCGTTTTCGTCGCTCTGCCTCTCTCCCACTCGCGGGGCGTCCCGTAGACGCGCGAGTGAGACAGAGCGACGAAAAGGGACTCTCGGAATCAGTCCGCAGGTGAGCTGATAAAGTTCTCACGGCGTTATCCGGCCGGGCTATCCACCCGCAGCCCCGGGACCCGGGACCTCGGACGACGGGGACCCTCGCGGGGAGCAGACCGCCGGGATCGCGGCGCGCACGCTCGTCGGCGACCTCTTCTTGGCGACGATGTTGTTGCGCGTGGTGGCGGTGCTGGCCGTGCTGGCGCCCATGGCGGTGGCGCGGGACGCGGGTCCGACTCCGACACCCGCCGTCGGCGTGGCCAACTGCTCCCTCCCCCGGCCGGCCGTCCGGCTTGCCGCCCTCGCGGAGAACAGCTTGAGGCTGCGTAAGTATCAAATCAAGTGCCGGGCGGCGCACAGTGGGCCAGAAGACCGGTGGAGGCGGACAAAACTCTAGACGCGTTTTGATCTCCGGAGTCGTTGAATGGGACTCGAAACGGACGTGTGACCCCACCAATGGATTGCTGTCCGAACGAGGAAACCATTGGTGGGGTCACACGTTTGGTTCGAGTCATGTTTAGCGACTCGGGAGCTCAAAACGTGTCAAGAGTTTTGGCCGCCTGCGCCGGTCTTCTGGCCCACTGTGCGGTGCCGCTTGGACCGCCCGCGCGGCAAGGCAAGGGGTCTGCCACTACTTGTACTCGTTTTCAGTGTTGCCAAAAGAGAAGCCCAAACACACCGGGGTGCGACGGGCTCGGCGACGGGCCTACTAGGCAACTCCTCGCCACATCTGTTGGGTAGCTGAGTAGCTGCCTGGTGGGCAGACAGCCCATCGCACACCAGTGTGGTTGGGTGAGGGGTAGGTTGGGGCAGAAAGGTACAGTACAGGGTAAGAAAAGAACCACCCTTGTGGAGCTGATGTCCTGAGTTTTAGTCATCCCTTGACCAGTGATTTCAACTTAACATGAAAATCTGAGTGTGAAAACACTGTTAAATGGATGTCATGGACTGGAGCAGTAGGCCACAAGGGGGGAGGTTTTTCCTTACCCTGTACTTTCCCAACCTACCCCTACTTTTTGTTTTGTGTCAAAACTGCTGGTTCTTCACGCCCGCCCTTAACCGACTCACACTCAGATTTGATCTGAAAAAAACGCCTGCATGTACACGACGGACACCAGGGGAAACGCGTGGTTCAACTCACAGGGCAGCCAACTAGCTTACACTCGCACTCAGTCGTAGTCAGTGACAGACCCTCGGCGGCGGTGTGTTGGTGGTGAGCGGGCTCGAACAGAGTGCAGCTTTGAAAGACGCACACGTGGGTTCCCAGTGTCCTCGCACTTGTCGTCGATGGAGGCGAGGGAGGGCAGTGCGTCGCAGGCGTCGCAGCGGGCGCGGGACGCTGCACTGCGAAGCATCTGGAGCATCCTCGAGGAGCTCCTAAAGGCCGTCATCAACGCCCTGCGGCTGCTGCTGGACCCCGCGCCACTCGGAAGCTACGACATCAGTCTCAACAACTCGCTCATCAAGTACGTCATCAAGTCCGTGCCGTGTAGCACGGCCAGCGCGGCCAGCGTGGCGCGTCACGAGCAAGTCGTGCCGCTTTTTCCAGTGGACCGGCGCCAGCGCGGCCAGCGTATGGCTGACCGGCCGCCTGCCGCCACGACCGGCTTCGGCGCTCTAGAGGCTCCAAGTCAAATTGACGTCACCGTTTCCTCGTGTTTTTGTGTGCTCTTTATTCTGGCGTGTCTTATGTACTTTGAGAGGTCGCCTGGCTGTCCACGACCTGCTGGCGCGCCACCTCCGTGACACCCAGTTCCACGTGGGCTTGCCGAACCCCTTCACCATGTGCTCCGAGGTGCGCGTCGCGCTGCCGAACCTCACCCTCACGGCGTTCTACGACGCGGACCTCGACGTCGGCTTCGGCGCCGCGGATGGGGAGGCCATGGCGATCTTCGGCGACGGACGTGCGCAGTAAGGCCAGTGGCGGATCCAGAGTCGGCCCAAAGGGGGGGGATCGTCTTTTTGACAGAGCGGGTGCGAGAGAGCAAGAGAAGATGTGTGAGATAGGCAGAGGGGGTGCGAGAGTGACAGAGCGGGTTTGAAAGAGCAAGAGAGGGAGCGAGATAGACAGAGAGGGTGTGAGAGACTAAGAGGGTGCGTGAGAGGCAGAGGGGGTGCGGGGTGCGAGAGGGATAGAGCGGGTGCCAGAGTGACAGAACGGGTGCGAGAGAGAATGACGAAACGGTCTTTCGGAATCAGGTGACAGGGCGATTCGAACCCAACTTTCTTTCTCCGGCTTTTTGTTTCAGAATCGACTTGCACAACGCGAAACTGACTACGAAAGTCTGTATAACATTGAAAGAGTTCTCCGTCAAAGTAGCCGATATGAAGATATCTCTTGAAAAGGCCGAGGTGAGTAACAGCAATCTCTATTTCGTTGTCTTCCGCCTAAATGGTTTGCCTTCCTGAACTCAGCCGCCTGTGAGGTAGGCAGCCCAACTAACTAGCCCCCAGCCGCAGCGCGCCTGAAAGGCAGGCAACCCATTTGGCTCGGAGTACCGATTCGACGAGTATTGGCAAAATATTCTGCTACACTGTGGAAACAAAGGCTGAAGAGTTATGCCTTTACAGGGCGTAAATGATTTGCGCCTCCGAAACAGCAAGAATTGTTTTATGTCCTTGAAAGGACCGTGAATCAGTATGCGACTTATAGGGCTTAGCTTTTACGCCTTGTCTTACCAGTGATTGTATTTTGTTACCACTCAGGATATTCCAGCCACTGTGCCTCCCAACTTTGTGTCTGTTTTAGATTTATCAAAGTTTCTTGGCCTACAGGTCAACCTGAAGGGTCTGTTTGGTGGCGGAGCAGTCAGTGACCTCGTCAATAGCATTGTCACAGACGTTCTTCCTGACGCGGTTGAAGAATATGAGCCAGAGATAACTCAATTGGCCATGAAATACATTAACGAATTTATAAAAAAGATGCTACATAGAGGGAGCGCTACAACAGCCACAAGGGTGACTAACAATTGTCAAAAAGAGAAGTATGTCATTACCGTATTCAGAGACATGATAAAAATTTAGAATTGCTGCGACAAAGGCTATGCTATTTTAAGGAATCCAATTATGAATGTAGTCATATTTATGAATGAAAATATTTATTCCTTGCAGGGTTTATCAAATTATATATTATTATTTATTACTATGATGGTGTACAATCTGCAACTTTATTTCACATATTCCATAGCAAAGTTTTGACCAGCTCAAAATTGCAATACCAATGTGTTAGCAGACATACACAAAAAAAAAGTACAATTACTTGTTGAAGATACACAGAAGTTTTCTTTTTGAATCCTGTCTATGTTTTCTGCTACAAATTGAAAAAGGACAGCTTAAAGTGAGAACTAGAAATCAACATGGAACTTAGCTTGATTTAAGCTACCCGTACACCAATGTGAATACAATCAAAAAAATGGAACAAGTCACAAAATGGCACTACCAACATTGGTACCTACATGGGTACACAAAACCAATAAAAATTAAATAGCTTTGTAAAACAAAACAGTTACAATCTTACTTTGGTGATATTAGAAGCACTGGCATTGACTGCATTGTCATTGGTTTTGATTATAACCAAAAATCCAAAGAAGAATATCTACATTTAGAAAACAAAAATTACTCAAAAGGAAAACAGTAACTTCAGATGGATAGGAGATCAAAAGAAGTTGTGATGCAATGACGGTTTCAAAAAAACAGCATGCTTAAAAATATACTCAACTTTGAAAATGTTCACAAATTTCAGAGAACCACAGAAACAATTCTCAATATATTTCATATGATAATGTAACTGAAATTGGATATAAACCAGAGGAAACTTAGATGACAGATCCAGATCATATTCCTTTCATAAACAGTAACATTTGTACTTTAAGGAATACTATGTATTTACAGCACAGTATTTAATGACTATAAACATCAAACTAGAATACAGTAGCATAAACAGTTTTCTCTATCAAATTTACAAATTCACAAAAATATTTTTTAAACTATAAATGGTCCATAATTAATAAATTTTATTTTAACAGGTAAATAAGGTACATGACTTGGTTGAGAACTCACTTTCCCCACAATAATAAAAGATTTACTAGTTACAATTCCATTTTCACAGAGAACCCCATTGACTCCTCTAGAGTACACTGTCGTCTTTTCTCCTTGGCAGTTGTAGGAGCTACCCTTGGCTTTGGTTTCCTCCGAGGAGTCACAATTTTTGACTGATTTTTCTTTGGGGTAAGAGGCGCAATGCTCCTTAGTTCATAGGTCCTATTCTGGCTCTCAGTAGCATTAAGTTCTTTTTGAAGTTGTAAAGCAAACTCATAATCCTTTTGTTCTTGGCGGTACCGTCGTTCCACCTGTTCATTCTCTGTAAGGTCTTCTAAAGATAATGGCAGAAGAGTGCCTTCAATATTATACAGTCCATTAACAGGTTTTGACTTAGGTAACTTTTTGGGACTGTCCTCTGTTGAACTGTCAACCACCTTGCGGTGTTCAAATTCACCCTCGCAATCTGTTTCCGAATCTGATGCTCCTTCCTCATTTTGCTGCTTTCCAGGTGAATTCTTTTGCTCAGCGCCGACAATTGTTTGAATGGTTTGTGCCCTTGTCAATTTCTTTGGTGACTCTTTCTTGCCCCTTTTAGGTGACTTGCCAACAGGGCCAGTAGGAGATCTTCTCCTTTTGTTGTCTTTCTTGGAAATAGGACTAGTTGCTTCACCTTGAGATGTACTCGGCTCAGAACTGGGATCTGAAATTAAACCAATTTTGTTATGTATTGAGCTACAAGAAAAGCAAGAGAACACCATAACTTAATTTATTGACAAAATTATCTTAACAAGTACCAGTACCTGCTTTGAGCCACGGCCGAAGGGTATTAGAGCTACGCCCAGGAGAAGCCCACCCATCTAAACTACGCATAACTGGAATGGGTTTGCAGACTTGACTATTATCACTGTCTGTGCCATCTGAAAGTAAGAATGGTCCATTAGTGAGGGTGTTTTGAACATTTCTGAACAACAATAAAGTTGAGTTGAAATGCTTAGGATGTCTTAAACAAGGACACAGTACCTGGTGAAGATTTAGGTGGTGTAGTTGCCACATAATGTACAGGCCGGAAATGGTGCAGTTCCCCATTTAAGCTGTCAGTGCTGCTTGAGCTATTAGTTCGTGTTGGTTTTCCTAAGTTGTCTGCAACAATTATTAGGGATTATTATAACCAAACTCCTCCTTCTACCATTGCACATCATGTTCTTAGAACAATCTCGCTTACTTTGATGCAGAAACACATCCATTGGTCCCTTTTTGGGAGGTTGAGAGGGAGGAAGAGCCGATGAAAGTGAGGCAAGCCTGACAAAAGCACTTGAAGCCTAAGGAACACAATATGGAGTTATTAATGACTATCATTGAGCGACATGGCAGTGGACAGACCAGATCAAAACCATCAAACATGGTACTCACTTCCTCCTCTTCCAGAAGACGCCTTAGATTTTCCTGCTCTTCAGCTTCTTTCCGAGCGTCCTCAGCTGCAAGCTGCTCGGCAATCTTTTGAGCAATCAAAGCATCTTCTTCTTCAGCTTTTTTTCTAAGGTCTTCCAGATGCCTTCTTTCTTGTTCCTCTCGCTCCTACAATAAGACAGATAAGAGGGAGAGGCATTTTAACTAACACCACTGTCATGAATATGATTATCATTGGAGACGCTATGAAAACATCAGAAAAGATACAGCAGATTCCAACATACATGAATATAATGAAAGACAAACCTGAAGTTCTTTGATGAGCTGCTCACTTGCACGAACTTCTACCTCTTGCCGTTTTAGAGCTTCTTCTTGAATACGCTTCTGTTCTGCTTCATACTCTCTACGAATCAATCCTGGTTCACTTATTTTAGGGGCTTGGATATTTAACTCAGCAAGACCTTTCAACCAAACAAAGAGACAAGCTGTTAAACGCACTGAAATAAACATAGTCAAACATTCCAATGACAGAAAGAATTAAGAAAGAAAGCTTAAGAAAACCACTACAAAACTCACTGTCAATCTCTTCGTCATCCTCTCCCTTCATTTTCTTTTCAACATGATGGCCAAATTGTTGCTGGATGAACTTCCACAATTGTTGATTTACCATTAAGCCGTTCTTTTGGCGTTGTCGGATCCATCCGCCGACATATTTCCGACATAGTGGGCATGCCAGAGTATTGTTATCAATCGTCTTCTCGAAGCATACTTTGCATACAGTGTGGAAGCAAGGCAGGGTTACAGGTTCAACAAAGATTCCCATGCAAACGGTGCACTGGACATCGTGCAAGGTTAGGCACTCCGGCTTGTCGAACTTGTTTTCCTCAGTTTTCAGTCGTCCAGCTTTGATGTTCTTACTTCTTGAGCGCCCTGTCATTTTAAAAAGCTATTTAACTAATAAATTTGTTTATACCATCCAGCGTTATCACAATCACTTCTAAACTCGGAAGCATTTATCAAAGGATAAAGTTTGCCTCCATCCTAAAATGTGGTTGTAATAAAAAAAACGATTGTTTGTGTGCTAGTCTCGGTAGAGTATGAGAAATAAGTGCCCCAAGGAGTCAATTTCTCATACTCATGCCAGCTGACGACAACCGTTCCAACCGTTCGACCTAACCCTTGTATTCTTTCGGCTTTCGCTATTTCTGTTAGTTTATGTGCTGTCATTCCTTTAATTAGAAAATTTCTCATTCAAACACTTTATTGGTTCAGCGGTGTTGGATGCTAACGGCGCCCAATCCAACTTTCTGTGAATCAAATTTTAGTTTCCTCATTTTTTACATCAGAGGTGGGAACTTATTCTGGTTCAAGTGTTTCGCATAGATTTCTTTTCAGTGAGGCTCATTCAATTTCAAGGGTTCTAATTCATTTCTTTTTATTATATTCAGTTTGGTCTTCTTCGTTCCAATGGATCTCACTGAAGAACAGAAGAAATTTCTGATGGATGTGGAAGAGGAGTTTTCGAATCGGTTCACAGAGTCTGACGCTGTTTATTGGGAAGAACTTACATCACCTCTTCCTTCTCCTCCGATCATGGAACCATGGTACAATAAGCAGCGAAGGAGGTTTGACTTCTCAAGAGGACGAGGAAGAGGAAGAGACAATTTCAATTTCAATGGAAGAGGTAGAGACAGGGATCAAGGCAGTCACAGCAGATATGATAATCAGAGAGACAGAAGGGACTACAGAAGAGATGAAAGAAGAAGTGACAGGAGAGACGACAGAAGGGATGATAGAAGAGATGACAGAAGGGATGATAGAAGAGATGACAGAAGAGATGACAGAAGACGATAGGAGGGATGATCAGAATGGTGACAATGGAGCTGCGGGTAGAGAGAGAGATAGGAATTTTCGTGGCTCAAGAGATAACCATCGGGATTTATTTCCGCAAAACCGTCATTCATTTTGATAAGTATTGCTACTTAATTTATTTCTTTTTAAATCAATTGTTAAATTGGTACAAGAAATGATTGAGATTGTAGGGTTAAACCTAATTATTATGGTAAAATGTAAAAGAAAAAAAAACTTTTTAAATGGCACTTCCAGTCTCATTGCTGTCAGCTGTCAAGGACTCTCTTGAAGCTATATCAATAGTCTGTGACACTTGTATATTGTTTAATGGTAATGGCTGTAAAGGAGACCTATATTTGGTAGATCTCATCATTGAAACTCGGCCAGACCTTTTGTTAAAGTCTGTTCTAACACTTCTTGACCATTTCTTCTTTGTTTGGATACAGCATATCTGTGAAGAAAAATGAATACTTTACTTCTTTATGATGAATTTTTAAGAATCTTTGACTGAAATCATTTTTTTAAGAATATTTTCTTGTGCAGAAGACTGAATTTTCTACTTACATTAGATGTATACTTGTATGTTGGATCTTGTTGAGCTCTCTTAAAATTGGCAATACTAATAATGATAATATCGGGCATTATGGCCACCCAAATAGAAAGAAAGGTAATAATCCAGAAAAGTGGTGAGCTTAGTAGCTCAAGATATACGTAAAACATTTGTTGATTAATCAATTTATCCCTGAAAATGAAAACAAAATTTGTACTCGTAGCCTAAGCATATTTTATGAATTTTTGAGAAAATGTTGAGTTCTTACAAGTCAATGACAGAGTATATCAAGTTAATAACTAGCAGAAGTAGGAATGATCCTATTATTGATAGAAGGAACGGGAGGGTCCAATACTGAGAGGTTATCAGTAGCTGGAAAAGGAAGATATAATAATGAAACTAGTTTTTCTAACTCTTCTTTAAATGATGCTGCTATAGAATAACTTTCCATCAAAATATCACCTTAAAGTTGACTACCAGTACTGCTGAGCTATACACCAGTGTGCTAAGACATAACATGTCACCCTCTGAGCCATTGTTCAGTATCACAGTGTTGAAACTCAATGCCATGACTGGGACAAAGAAAACAACAACTGAATGCCAAAGGCCTGAAAATAAAAGAAAAGGTTTTCACAGACTGTTGTTATAGATGTGTTAGTCAGTTAACTTTGATTTGTTAAAGCTTTGCCACATACTTCTCTTGAAGCACTGTCACACCTCGGCAAATCCATGAGTTGGCTTCTCGTTCTTACATTGTTATCTGCTACCTGAAAACAGACAAGCAACTCTTATGTGTCAAAATTGTTAATGTACTTCAATATTTTCTGGAACTTTTAGAGTTAATTTTTTGTTAAGTCTGTATTCAATGTTGCTTTTATTATGATGCTTTTAAAAGGAAAATATATTTTGGGTGTGGTTCAGTGCTACCAAGGAAAAGAATGTAACTCAACTTTCCAAGTAAGCCAGTAAAGTCATTTTCATTTCAAAATGACATTAACTGGACTCATAAAGTCACTTTTGTAAGGTCAAGATGTTTCAAGATGACTTAAATTGACGTCCCTTGATCTGAAAGTGACCACTGGCTTTACTTGGGTTTGACATACAAGTCTAAAAATAAATCAATCTCACAAAATAAAAGAAACGTGCTTCCTTTTTTTCTTAAGCTTTACCTGCAGCTAACCATGTGATAAAATGACCAGTTCTCATCAGCTTGTTGCCTTGGTGCCTTTTATATAGTGCTGGATATTGCAACAGCTGGTAGGATGGCCGGTTTTGTTCCAGCAAACCATACACTAACACAGGGACCGATGTAAAGATAATGTTGAAGCAGGTGAGAAATACGGATGTATACATGGACTGAAAGTTTTTCAAACATTAAGAAAAGCCTTAATTTGCACCAATTTCGGAACCATTTTAAAATGAACAACACCACTCACCTGAGGGGAAAATGCAGTAAATAAAATGAAATAAAATTGGGGAAGGACAAAGACGACATTTTTGTAGAAGAAGTAATGGACCAGGTTGGAGAGTCGGAAGTAGTACCAGTGGCCGTGAACCAGTAACGCCCTTTGCACGAAGCGGAAGCGAGCCATGGCGAAGTCAGCGCAGCGCTCGGCCTGCCGGCCCTCCTTGCCCATCAGACCTGGAGCAGGAGCGAAGAGAAACTTGTGGTGGGGACTCCAGTAGCAAGTAGGCAAAAAGGAGCCCAAACGGAGAGCGACGGGCTGCATCTATTCCTAGGCAGCTACTCGACAGCTGTTTGGGCTTCTTTTTGCCTTCTTTTCTACTAGCAAAACGACGGCTCCCAGCAAAAGAGGCATATCTTTAATCCGTGGGGAAAAGGCAACTTTTGATGGGAGGCGTCGACACTGTTAGAAGCTTAGAGACTTCAATTCAGTCCCGCTGAAAGACTCTGAGGAGCCACGAGCCTGAGCGCCTGCCAAGTAGGCAACCAAGTCAGCCCAGCCACAGGAGCCAGTTGGGTTGCCTACCCTCATTACCATTACCACTACGGGCTAGATCTCAACTATGCCATTTCCTCGTGCGTCAGTGGCGCGGAGGCCTGAGAGACGGCCCTCACCCAGCCCGATGTGCGCCTCCTGAATCATGGACACGTCGTTGGCGCCGTCCCCGATCGCCGCCGTGGTCGGCCGATGTTTGGAGTTCTTTATAAGTCGCACGATCTGCCGAAAAAAGGCGACAAATTTGCTAGAGCGCGGATCCAGGGAGGGAAAAGGGCCAATTGCCCCTCCCTTGACCCCCAAGGTGGCCGCTTGAAAGGTGCGCTAAATCAACACTTTTTTCCTGTAGATAAGCGAACCCCTCTCTCTGGATCCGCCACTGCAAAGTTGAGTTTGTGCTTGATGGACTGGGACAGTGGGTTTCAACCCTACCGCCAGCCTCTCACCTGGCACTGCAAAGTTTGTGCTTGATGGACTGGGACAGTGGGTTTCAACCCTACCGCCAGCCTCTCACCTGGCACTTCTGCAGTGGGGACAGCCGGCAGCAGATGACCGCGGGGCTGGCCACCATGACGTCCAGCAGGAGGTCCGGCGCGTGCTGCAGAGACAGCCCGAGGGATTCGCCGTCCAACACCAGCCCGTAGTTGTCCCCGGAAGCCAGCCGATCTCTGGAAAATTTGAAATTTGTATAGTTTTTTCTTTGTTTTCTTTTTCATTTACCTTTTGGTGTTTCTTTAAAGTTTTGCCCCTTGGACTTGGCTTACTTGATGACGCGCAGCGTCCTGGTGACGGCGGTGGCGCTGGTGTGTTCCGTCACGAACAGCGGCTCCGCCTCCAGCTCCAGGTGGCCGCTCGAGTAAGAGATGCTGAGCGCCGTCTCCACCTTGTCCCCTGTCAGGATCCACGTCTGGGAACGAGAGGGAAGCGTTTGAGAGTGCCCACCCTGCCCCCAGTCGCTTTCGTCGCTCTGTCTCTCTCGCACCAATGGGGCGTTCTGTACAGGTGCGAGCCTGAAGCCCAGCGATTCCAAAGGACCGTCTCGTCTCGCACCCTCACCCTCATGAGACGCCCCATGAGTGCGACAGAGACAGAGCGACGCCCTTGGGCTCCACTCGGCAGACATGTCGTCAGGGCAGACTCCCCCAGACTGACCTTGACGCCGGCGTCCCTGAGGTTGGACAGCGCCTCGCGGACGCCGGGCTGCAGGCGGTCCTCCACCGCCGTGGCGCCCAGCAGCGTCAGGCCCTGCTCCACGGCCAGGCACGCCGACGACACCTGGGACTCGCGGTTCCCCGCCAGCGTGCACCGCGCCGAGCGCACGGCCTGCAGCACGGCCGAGAACTCCTGCCGCGGGATGCGGCGACACGCCACCAGCATGGTGCGGAGGCCGCGCTGGACAAGACCAACAAGGCACTGGTGGTGGTTAGGTCGCGGTGGCGGGGGCAAAGGGACCATTGACCTCCGCCATCTGGCTCAGCCGCCTGGGAGGAGGCACGAGGGGGCAAGCACTCTAGAAACCTTGTGTCCCCTTGGCGCTACAAATCTCTGGGAAATCTGAAATCTTGCCCCCAAAAAGGGTAAAAAAACAAGCTAATTTTGGTCGGAATATCGGTTAAAATCTTGCGAAATCCGATGAAATCTTCAGCCTTAAGGAATCTTGTATCCGCTAACATCCAATGTGGTTGCCCCCTCGCAAGAAGCCCACTTTGTTGAAGTGAGGTAAAGTACTTCCTTTATCCAGGTGCGGATCGAGGGGTTGCGGGTGGGACGATAATGCCAGGGGATGATCCGGGGGAGGGGGAGGGGGTTCGTCGCCGCGTCGCCCCAGTCGAGCGATTCCGCCGCCAGCACTCCTCGCTCTGTCTCTCTCACACCCCTACGGCACCCTCCGCGAGTGCGAGAGAGACAGAGCGAGGTCGGAAGGCAGCAGAATCGCTCGCCAGGCAACAAGTTGCACTTTGCCCCCCACTTTTTTCGAACCCGTCTCTGGATCCGGCCTCGCTACCAATGCGGTCCCGTCTCCGTGGTGGCGTGGCACCGAGGGGGAACAGCTTCCCACAACATTCGTTGTACAAAATTTGACCACATTCCACATTCAGGTGGCAAAAACGCCAGAAATCTTGCACATTCTTGCACATCCACACAACCATTGTACAAAAAATTTTACAGTGGGTGGCACGCACCATGGCGAACTCGTGGATGCACTCCATGGTCCTGGTCTTCTGGCCCTGGCTGACGAGGGGCAGCACCGTGGCCTCGGCGCCCTTGCAGAACACCCAGATTTGGTCCGACGGGTCGCGCACGATCACCGACATCCTCTTGCGCTCTGCGACACGGAAAGCGTGGCACAGTGGGCCGGAAGACCGGTGGAGGCGGCCAAAATCCCGGACGCGTTTTGAGCTCCAGAGTCGCTAAATGGGACTCGAACCGAACGTGTGACCCCACCGATGGATTGCTCTCCGAACGAGGAATCCATTGGTGGGGTCAAACGTTCGGTTCGAGTCCCATTTAGCGACTCTGGAGCTCAAAACGCGTACGGGATTTTGGCCGCCTCCACCGGTCTTCAGGTCCATAGAGCACCTCGGGCAGGTTAGGTTAGGTTAGGTGTGGGGACGACTTGGCGACTGGCTTACCTGAAGTGAACTCCAGCACTTCGAGGCGCCGGAAGGCCTTGACTCGCCCTTGGACGCGCACCACGTAGTAGCCGCTGGACTCGCCCAGGAACACGACGCCGAATCTGGAAGTCCGCAAGAACCACTTCATCAATCGATACCGCGCGTACCCCTTTTTTGCCCAGGTGCGGATCCAGCAAGGGGGAAAGCGTCGCTCGCCCCCTGAAGGCGGAGGCAAAACCACTGCAATTCCGTTGGTAAGTTTGCTGATCACCACTCTAGTGCCAAAGTGTCCCCCTGGCCCGGCGAACGCCAAAATTTGGCGCCCTAGGCGGCGGGACTGCCAAAATTTTGGATTTCTATGGGAGCAGTTTGAACCAAATTTCGGCATTGAAACCGGAGCACTGTTGGAGTGATAAGCAAACTTACCAAAAGCATTGCAGAGAAGTCGCACTTCTTCCCCCTGTAAGTAAGTAGGCAACGTTTGCTCAGCATCGCCTGCTTGAGATCCCCCGTCCCACAGTGGACCAGAAAACCGGCGGTGGCGGCCAAAACTCTAAACGCGTTTTGAGCTGCAGAGTCGATAAACAGGACTCGAACCGAACGTGTGACCCCACCATGGATTCCTCGTTTGAAGAGCAATCCATTGGTAGTGTCACACGTTCGGCTCGAGTCCCATTTAGCGACTGTACTGTAGAGCTCAAAACGCGTCAAGAGTTATTCTGGCCGCTTTGGCACTGGTGCATTGCACTGGTCTTCTGGCCCACTGTGTGTCCCAGGCAATGGTTCCACATGCCGTGTCGCGCCCTCAGGCCCGGCACCGCCTTGCTTGGCATCACGTTGCCACCCTCACCTCGCGCACGCCAGCAGCAGGGCCCTCTCGTCGGGGCTGCAGCAGGAGTACTGGAACTCGGCGCCGTCCAGCTCGTCGAAGCGCTCCTCGTAGTCCATCTGCGACGAGTGGCACAGCGCCAGCGCCAGCAAGAAGTGCTCCATGGCGGCGCTGAGGTCGGCGGCGTCGTCGGCCGCGCCCAGGTCCGCGTCGAGGTCCGCGCTGGCGCGCGTCGCCATGCCGTGGGGCAGCTCCCGCAGCGCGCCGCGCACGTCGCGGTACGGCACGCCGTTGATGCAGCAGCGCCGGAACACCATCGAGTTCTCCGTCAGCGTGCCCGTCTTGTCCGTGAACAGGTACTCCACCTGGAAGGCACAGGTAAAGAGGAAGGGAGTGACCAATGGCAAGGGCGGATCCATGGAATACGCCCGAGCTTGAGGCCCGAGGGGAGCGCACGAATGGGCCACTCGTGTAAACTTTGTCAGAAACATGTCCGGAATCCTGACAAAAATTCGCGCACCTCCTAAAGCTGATATTCGGAAAGCTTTCAGAGGTGCGCGCATTTTGATCAGGATTTCAGACAGGTTCAGACAGGTTTCTGACATACGCGGACAAAATTTACCCGATTGCCACTCGGTTGCCGACCCAGTGGCCACGCCGCCTGCGAAAGGCAGGGTAGGCAATGCGACGCACGCGTGCACACCGGGTTGCCTACCCGACATTACCATTACCATTACGGGCTAGACCACACATGATCGTGCCCACGCCGCCTGCGAATGGCAGTGCAGGCAATGCGACGCACACGTACGCGTGCACGTGCAGGGGGCTGCTTTTTGCCTACTTACCGCGGCAAAGTGTATCTTTTCACGAACAGAAGTCCAAAAAAAGGGGAGCTCGTCTCTTTTCTTCTTTAAAATGCACCCTTGGCCGATGGAATGTTCCCTCTCGGCCGCCAACTTACCAGGCCGAGCTCCTCGTTGAGGTCGGACGTGTTGCAAACCGCCGTCCGGTTCGTGTCCGAGCAGTACATCTGGTTGTCCCACGTGAAGAAGAGCGAGCCCAGGAACTTCTGCATTTCTGAACAGAACGCGACCGAATCGTTGTAAGAAAAGAGAGTTTCTGTCCTTGTGCGGTCTCCGTTTTCTGCCGCTAGGCGGCACCACCTACCGATGGTAACGTAGAGCGAGATGGGGATCAAGTAGTTGTAGAGGATGAGGTAGGAGAGGACCTCGTTGGTGATTTCCGATGACGTCATGTCCTCTATGTCGCCGAGGTGCGCGTCGTTGAACGAGGCTGCAAACGAGAGGAACTGAGTTTGTAGAGCTTCAAACCGAGTGAGGAGAACTCCACACCTCTTGGTTAGGAGCCGTTCCCTGCATTTGCACGAGTGGAGTTTGCAGTCTCTACACTTGGACGAGTGGAGTTTGCAGTCTCTACACTTGGACGAGTGGAGTTCACAGTCTCCACACTTGAGGGTGTGGAGCAGCCGTGTAGAACTCCCGAGTGCTCCCCCTGCAAACTCGGCACTTGCAGTGCGGAGACTGAAAATTCTACACCTCCGCGTTTCAAGTATGAAGTCCTCCACGTTGGTTTTACAGTGTTCCCCCTCAAGTCGAAGACACCTTTGCACTCACCCATGGCGTCGGAGCCCTTGTACAGGCTGGAGCCCACCACGGAGGCGGCGACGAGTAACAGGAGGCAGGACATGGCGAGCAGCAGCAGTCGATTGATGGACCTGCAAGCCAAACCACGCCGCGGTCAGTTATTCTACAAACTGAAGTGTGTACTCTGTATGCGTCTACAGATGCATACTTGCAAGTACACATCTATAGATGCATACTTGGATAAGTACACATCTGCAAACGCCTACTCAGCTGAGTACACACCAACAGAAACCTAACTCATCCAAGTACGCATCTGCAGATGTGTACTTGCAAGTATGCATCTGTAGACACTGAGTACACATTTCAAGTTGCAGACTAGTCGCATCGGGATCTCGACATAGCGAAAAACTACCAACTTTTCCATCGCAGAGAACTTGTTGCGCGTTATGAGTGAGTTGCGCGCCACCTTCGTGTCGGCGCCGGCGTAGACGGCGCAGCCTGCAAGCAGGAACGAAAAGAACAGCCTGCGTGGGGACGCGAACCCGCGACCACACTGGAAATCCAAGCGTGAACCAAACTGTCTCACGCTATTGCAAATGTGAGCCACGATTTTGACACGCTTGCAAGTGTGATAACGGTTGGTCGGACACTCCCACACAGATAAATTTCTACAAAGAACTGCTCGTTGCAATACAAAGGAAACGGAGACGTCGCAGCCTGCGAAGGAAATCGTTTGTAACACAAAGGATTTTGTTTGTAGTACAAAGAAAAAATCCTTCGCAGGCTGCGAAGAAGTTCTTCGCAGGATACAAAGCATTTTTCCTTTTGTATTACAAACAAAATCCTTTGTTTTACAAACGATTTCCTTCGTAGGCCTCAAAGCCTCCGTTTTCTTTGCATTACAACGAGCAGTAGTTCTTTGTAGGGTTCTAAGTGTGCAAAGCGTGTGACAGTGGCACTGAACCACGGGGACCACGAGGGGAACCGTGAGACAAACCAGGCGCGGTGTAAGGAGCCCCCGACAGGGAGGTCGATTGTGCATATTTTGCCTACCTACAGGGGCATGTGATGCTGGTTGCCTACTATGAGACGTTTAGAGAATCTCACGGGAGGGCGATCGCCTTTCCCCCCTTTTCAAACCGCGCCTGAGACTAGCCTTGTCTCACTCTTGCAAGTGTGAGACCCGGTGGTGCCTCGCTCTCTCTCGCAATCGTGGGACAAACGTGGCTCACACTTGTAAGCGTGAGACACGTTGCTTCACGCCAAACAGTGTGAGAGTGTCCCACACTTAAACACACTGGCAAAACAAAGGCATTAAAATTATGCCCTTTAAAAGCGTAAACGATTTACGCCCCTCGAGCGGCGTGAATCATTTATGCCTTTTGGAAGGGCATTAAAATTTTGCTTAAAAATCTTACACCATTCACGCCCTTCCCAAGGGCATAGAACGATTTACGCCCATAAAGGGCCCTCTGTTTTACCACTGCAGCGCACTCACCGAACACTTGGTCCGTGTTGCGCAGGCGCGCGCCCTTGAGCAGCAGGTGGTCGGCGGACAGCGGCGAGGACAGCGGCTCCTCGTCCGCCTCCATGAACATCATCTGGCTGAGGCGCGCCGTGAGGCTGTCGATGGACGTGCGCTGCGCGGAGTGCTGCCCGCTGGACGCCGTGGACGAGGACGTCGCCGTGGCCGAGGCCGCCGGCGGCGGGGCGGGCGGGGCGGGCGGGGCGGCCACCGGGGTGGACAGCTCCAGCCTGCGGGGGCTCGCGGTCATCAGCCGAGCCACTCCACCGCCCACTCTCGCTCGGTCTCTCTCGCACCCCCACGGCACACGCCATGAGTGCGAGAGAGAGCGAGGAGTGCTGGCTTCGGAATCGCTTGCCAGGGCCGCAACTCTGCCATGGTAGAGCATGCACAGCTGCTTTGTTTCTAGGCGACCAAGGTGAACAGATTCTGAGCACCATTGGCAACTTTGCCGCTGGCGAGGCATGAGTGCAGGCACGCAGCCCCTTTGTGCAACCCGAGACTAGGCGCAAAGGTGGCCAGAAACTGGGCGACGTTTGGCGCCCTAAAAAGTGGGGCGCAAGTGACAAAGGCGCCCAGTTTCAGGTCATGCCAAATTTAGAGTGTAGGCAAAAAGTGCTACTTTTGGGCTTCCCCGGACCTCAGAGGCCCGCTGCTGGCGCTCACTCACCGTCCGTAGAAGCGGTACAGGTCGGGGTGCGGCTGCTCGCACTCGATGACCCCCTTGACGCCCATGAGCTGCCCCGCGGCGCGCACGTTGCGCAAGGCGCCCGGCAGGAACACCGTCTGCAATGTCACGCGCCTCTTTAATGTCGGTCAGTCCCCTCGTTGCTTGGCCAGCTTAAAAGTTGGCCGAAGGGTTGTGTTTCACTGCACGGTAAAAACGATTCCTGGTTTTCCCAGGAACTTCCTGGAAATCACCTATGTCTCTACCATAGGCCTCCTGGGAATACCAGGTACCGTTTTCACCGTGTGCAAAGCCAGTGGCAAGTTTGCATGCCACAAATTTGGCAAGCCGTTTTGAATGCCAAAATTTGGCAAAGCTTTGGTCGGAAACTTCATAAGCTTGCAATTTTGGCAAGCTGGGTGGTATTTCCAGGCCAATCTTGCCAATTTTTGGCATTCAAAACAGCTTGCTAAATTTGTGGCAAACAAACTTGCCACCGGCTTTGCAGTGTTACGCAGTGCACCTGGGTGCGCCAGTGCTCACGCACCATGCACCCGAATGTTCCATCATCGAAAGGGTTTGCAGTAAGGGCGAATGGCGTCACGTTGAAACGAACGTGACACAACGCCCAGAGGAGCAGGAAGCAGGAGCGTGACATTCCTGATGGCAGTCTCCTGGAAGGAGAGTGTTGCCGACCTCTGCCTCTCTGAACTTCATTCGAGAGAATCCAGATATTGCCTTGTTGGCAGCTGAGGCAGGCAAACACTTTCGACACTGGTGCATCATCATGGGAGTTTTCCCCTACTTTAGTGGCAACACTGGGCACTGCGTGGCACTGTTTGCACCCCGTCCCAGGCTACGCCTCACCATGGCCTCACCTTGAGGTTGCTCTCGCCGTCGAGGTTGGCAGTGGTGACGTAGCAGCGCGCGTTGGGGTGGCTGCTGGCCACCAGCACCATGTCGCAGGGCACGTCCTGGTCGCACGCCACCATCACCAAGTCTCCCACCTGGATGCGCTCGGCGCTCAGCTCCTGGATTGCAGCATGGTTGCAGCATGGTTGCAGCATGGTTGCAGCATGGTTGCAGCATGGTTGCAGCATGGTTGCAGCATGGTTGCAGCATGGTTGCAGCATGGTTGCAGCATGGTTGCAGCATGGTTGCAGCATGGTTTCAGCATGGTTGCAGCTTGGTTGCAGCTTGGTTGCAGCTTGGTTGCAGCATGGTTGGATGGCAGCATGGTAGTGCAGGGAGAGAGAGAGAGAGAGAGAGAGAGAGAGAGAGAGAGAGAGACAGACAGACAGACAGACAGACAGACAGACGGAAGCGCAAGCTGTCCAGCTTGTCCAAACCTGCGAGACGCCGTTGCGGATGACGGAGACGGGCGCCAGGTTGACCTCGCGGTCGCTGCAGTGGCGCAGGTAGTCCTCGTAGCCCTGCTTGGCGGCCGTCACCACCACCACGAAGAGCAGTGGCAGCAGGCTGGTCCACGGACTCACGGGGCTGTTGATGCTCATCTTCCATTTCGGCCCAGAATAGGAAAGGTCAGGGTTTTTTGTGCCGGGGGGAGGGGGGTCAGTTACACGTCTTTTGAAAAAAAGTATCCCCAGGAGAACAATAAAGTCTAGATCATGTCTATAAGGCTTCAAAACGAGCGATTTTTGTCAAAATTTGGTCTATTTTGCTTTCAAAATATCATCATGCGACGTCATTTTGATCTGGTTTTGAAACATGTTCTCCTGGGGATGACCTCCGCGTGGTTTTGCTGCTGAATGTACTTACCACTATGATGGTGGCCACGAGGAAATAAAAATTGGCAATCCGGCGAAACTGCTCCAACAGGTTGTAGGGTAAGAAATTCCACACCGTGTACTGAAAGACAGAATTAATCGGTTTTTGATTTGTGTACAAAAGTGTTGCCTTCTGGTCTAAGGGATCGCTGACGTTGGCACTGCTGCTCACCTTCGCCGAGACCATCTTGTTGGTGGCGTAGGCGGTGGGGGCGGTGCGGCCGATCGGAACATGGCGGACTTCCCCGGCCGAAGAGACTCGGTTACCCTGTCAAAGGCAAGTTTTTGAAAGAGGCGACTAAAACTGAAGGATGTGCGTTCTTTGGCGGTACCTGAACCGACGCGGCAAACGCTATGCCCTCGGACCAGAAGCGCCTCAACATGGCACTGACAGACTGACGGCGGGCACCCTCGGCTTGCACAAATCCTTGTTGATCCTTCCCCCAACAAAGAGGATCGACTTCGCGCGCCAAGTCGATTATTGCTTGGTATGAGAAATTGAGGGCGCCCAGTTGTCCATTTGCCCAGGGCAGTGCGAGTGCCCCGCGGGGGACGCGGCGCCAAGCAGCCCACGACGCGCGACTTTGACATCACGGTGCAAACGAGGCGCGAGGTGAAAACGCCGTCCGGGACAAAACACGAATTTCAAATTGAATGCGCGGAGCGGGTGCACGCCCGAAAAGAAACCTCCTCCTCCGGGGTCCATGGACTTCCCCTTGCCTGCAAGGTTCCCCTCTCTGTGCAGTGTGCAGGCAGAACCTGAGTTGGAACTTCTTCGTCGACCTTGTTTTCTTCCCGTCCCACTGCGCATCGCCCGGTTGGGCTCGACGCGGCTCGGGAGAAAGGGAGGTAGGGGGGGGTCACGTCGCCCCTTTAGACGGGGGTAGGCCAAACGTCGCACTTTGCCTCCGTCAGTGGGCAACTTTTGCTGCACCCCCTGAACCTGATCCCGCCCCTGGATCCGCCTTGGATGGCCTTGGCCAAAGGCCCTCGTTGGACCCCTACGCACCTTGGTCCACGACGGCGGCCCCGTCCCGCTGGCCCTGCTGGCCCTGCTGGCCCTGCTGGCCCTGCTGGCCGCGCTGCGCGTGGACCCGTTCTGGCTCATGGCGTGGTTGCTCTTGCAGTGTACACCATCGCCGCGCCCTGGGCCCACACAACTACATCGACGTTTGCACCACGACGGCCCTTGTCACACTGAATGACTGAAAGCGACGGTTGTCCTGCACGGTGGGGCGTGGCGGGGCGTGGTGGGGCGTGGCGGGGCGTGGTGAGGCGTCCGGGTCCGCGGTTCGCTCGCACCCACCCGCGAAACAGATGCAGGTGGCTCGCAGAGCCCGCGTAGCTCTCGCCCAAAGTAGAGACCCACGAATTGTCGTGCGTTCCAATACCAGAGAATCGGAGGAAATTTTGTTGGCGCCGTGTTTTGTCTGGCGTGGCTGGGGAAGTCCCTGAAACAGAGGTTGCCGTGGCTAAAGAATTCCTTTACATTTCTCAGTTGGGCCTTCCCTGGTACTTGGGAATGGATTATGGGAAGAACCTGTGTAGCAAATGCTGGAATCTCGCTGTTTTCTATCATTTTCGTCGACGCATTGTGCTCGAATACTCTCAAACTGACACCTGAGTGTTTGTGTGTGTGTGTGAGTGAGTGATTGAGTGAGCCCAGGTCTGAAAATCCGCTACTAAGGGGTAAATTTCACATCCGGTAAGAACGGGATCCGCTGCCACACACCGATCCGCTTTCACACAGGATCCTGTATCGAACCGGATCCGGTGTGTGGCAGCGGATTCCGTTCTTACCGGATGTGAAATTTACCCCTTTAAAGCGGATCCGGTGTGACCACAGTGGATCCGCTTTCACTTTAGCGATCCGGTGGTCAACACAGCGGATCCGGTGTCAACATAGCGGATACGGTAACCACAGAGGATGGCCTTAGCGGATCTTGTATGATCTTAGTGGATCCTCTTAGCGACAATGCAACCTTTATTTGGAAGACAATAAAAGAAATTTAAACTCTGAAAAGAGGGTTCCGGGTTAATGAAACCGAGTCCGATCCGAATCTGCAATCCGTTTGTCGCTATCATCGGCGGTTTTAAAGATAGCGAAGTTATGTTGTTGAATTGCAATTATATTCAAATGGCCCTAGTGAATTCTCATCAATAAACCCTGTACCAATTTTGAGGTCAAAATACCAAAAACTTTCGATTTTATAGCCTCTTTATTTTGGAAATCCGTAGAGGATCCGCTGAGGTTAGTGGATCCGGTAGAGCTGAGCGGATCCGGATGGCTTTAGTGGATCCGGTATGGCTTTAGAGGATCCTGTACAGAGCGGATCCTGAATAGCCTCAGCGGATCCTGTGCTTAGCGGATCGTAGAGGATCCTGTGCGGCCAAAGCGGATCCACTGTGCCCCATAGAGGATCCACTAAGAGCATAGCGGATCCACTACGACCTTAGTGGATCCCGTAAAGACTAAGCGGATCCGCTGTGCGCAGAGCGGATTTTCAGACCTGGGAGTGAGTGAGTGAGTGAGTGAGTGAGTGAGTGAGTGAGTGAGTGAGTGAGTGAGTGAGTGAGTGAGTGAGTGAGTGAGTGAGTGAGTGAGTGAGTGAGTAGTGAGTGAGTGAGTGAGTGAGTGAGTGAGTGAGTGAGTGAGTAAGTGAGTGAGTGAGTGAGTGAGTGAGTGAGTGAGTGAGTGAGTGAGTCAGTAAGTGAGCGAGTGAGAGATAGAGATAGAGAGAGAGGGAGAGAGAGAGAGAGACAAAGAAAGAGAAAGGGAGAGAGACAGAGAGAGACAGAGAGAGAGAGAGAGAGAGAGAGAGAGAGAGAGAGAGAGAGAGAGAGAGAGAGAGAGAGAGAGAAGACTCGCCCAGAGACTCGCCCAGAGACTCGCCAAGAGACTCGGCCAGAGACTCGGCCAGAGACTCGCCCAGAGACTCGCCCAGAGACTCGCCCAGAGACTCGCCCAGAGACTCGCCCAGAGACTCGCCCAGAGACTCGCCCAGAGACTCGCCCAGAGACTCGCCCAGAGACTCGCCCAGAGACTCGCCCACACGGTTAGACTTGGTCCTGAAAGATTCAGGGCCGTAACGCGTCCCTGAGGTAGCCGGACACCCGTTTCCAGGACGGGAGTGGCGAAATTCAACCAGTTTGCCGTTTGGTCCTGGAAACGGGTGTCATTGGCGACGTTTGTCACCCGTTTCCAGGACGGTTCGGAATGTTTGGGGCTCTCGGTCCTGGAAACGAGTCTCGGCGGGCCCAAGACGCCGAAGTAAGACCAGTTCGCACCTGGTAGCTTGCACACTGAACTACATTGTACCGCTGGGCAATGATGCGCCATTCCCGCAGTGCGTTTCATGGAAAAAATCGGCAGCAAGAAGTGGCAATACGAAAGTCTCAAGGAGACCCGCCGATCAGCTTCGGTGTTCTTATGGGAACCGGGCCTTCATCCGACGCATCCCTGCCGCGCAATTCGACAGATTAGTGGAGTTCGTATTGGGCTGGCCCACCCGAAGTGCGCGCGGTTTCTGTGGTGCAGTGAGAGTCCAGATTCAGAGGCCTTACCTCAGAGGGGTCACATTGGGTATTTGAACCCGCGACCCCGAGTGCCGATTTAGTCAACTCCTCTACCCTGACCGCTCAGCCACCGAACCAGCTTGTCGGCGGCGATGTCGCAACTCCTCTTGAGCTGCCGTTCGAGAAATCGGGTCCCGAAAAAAGGGTACCTGGAGCGGTCTCAAACCCCGGGACTTGCCGTTTTCCCACATCATGCTCTTAACCACTGAGCCCCCGGGGATGCCATGGCACCCGCCCTGCCTGCGCAGGTACCCAATCTTCTGTGGTATACCTCCCCAAGCAATTGGTCGCCGAAAAAATTGTGTATACCACCGGTCCCGAACCCAGGACCTCCCGCTTCCCGCGACATGCTCTTAACCACTGAGCCACCGGGACGCCATGGCACCCGCCCTGCCTGCGCAGGTACCGAATCTTCTCTGGATATACCCCCCAAGCAATTGGTCGCCGAAAAAATTGTGTATACTACCGGTCCCAAACCCCGGGGACCTGCCGTTTCCCCACATCATGCTCTTAACCACTGAACCACCGGGACCCCATGGCCCCGGGCCCCTGCCTGCGCAGGTACCGAATCTTCTCTGGATATACCCCCCAAGCAATTGGTCGCGGAAAAAATTGTGTATACTCCCGGTCCCGAACCCGGGACCTCCCGTTTTCCCACATCATGCTCTTTACCATTGAGCTACCGGAGGACCATGGTGCTCGCTCTGCCAGCGCTGGTACTGAATCCTCTCCGGATAGACCTCCTCAAGAAGTTTGTTGCCGTTTGCCGAAAAATTTGCTCATGGCACTAGTCTCGAACCCGAGACCTGCCAGCCAGGAACGGAGCACTCTAACCACTGCGCCATCAGGTTACTGTCCACGCCACCCACCTAGCGCCAAACTTGAATAGCCACCCATCTTGCTTGATGCTGGACAAATTATAAGTTCGGCGCTAGGAGAGCGGCGCTCATAGCAAACTGGTGGCGCAGTGGTTAGAACGCTGCGTTCCAGACTGGCAGTTCTCGGGTTCGAGACTAGTGCCATGAGCAAATTTTTCGGCAACGGCAACAAACTTCTTGAGGAGGTCTATCCGGAGAAGATTCAGTACCAGCGCTGGCAGAGCGAGCACCATGGTCCTCCGGTAGCTCAGTGGTAAAGAGCATGATATGGGAAGCGGCAGGTCCCGGGTTCGGGACCGGTAGTATACACAATTTTTTCGGCGACCAATTGCTTGGGGGGTATATCCAGAGAAGATTCGGTACCTGCGCAGGCAGGGCGGGTGCCATGGCTCGCAGTCTCGGACACGACAGTCGACAGGCGGCGGGCTGCGATTTCGAAGCGGTGCTTCGTCACGCTGTCCCTCTCTCACGCGCGAGTCTGTCACCATGAGTGTGACAGAGTCCGACGAGGTAACATTTCGGACTGTAGCATCGCGATGTCGCCTCCACGCCGTACTCGGGGAGGGCCTGCAGGCTGCTTCCGAACACCGTCGCTCACCGCTCCGGAACTCTCACGCCCCTACAGTACGCCCCATACCCATCGAGTGCGAGAGAGACAGAGCGACGAAGCGAGTCGGCCTGCCGCCAGACCTCCACTCCACTCCGGGGCTCCGGACTCCGGCACGGGCCCGGGCCGCACTGCGTTGTCTGGCGTGCATTGGTATGCGCGGCACATCATCTGCATTCAGCCTTCGCGGGTACTTACATCGCGGCCCATATCACTCGCCGGGGGCAGCCGTCGCGGTGGCCGTGGTGGAGCGGCATGCGATTGCCGGGCAAAGGCCGAGGCGCCCGGGGGCCCCGGGGTTTGAATACCAGCCTGTCACTTCG